TGGGCCCAACTGGGTCATCTGTTCCGGGGCCACAAAGGCAGGCCTTGCTCACCCTGGGGCCCCGGGGTGGGGGCAGGAATCATGGGGGTGCTCAGAGCCTGCTGGGGAGAGAAGCCACGGACACCTGGAAGGCACCCTGGCCCAGCTGGAGTGGGTGACGAGAGGAGACCTTCCCCAAGGAGAGCGGGGCGTGGGCACGGCCAGGACTGGCCCATGAGAGGCGTCACCCAGGGCAGCACCCTGCCTCCGAGATGTGACGGCGCCAATGTCCCATGTGCTGTGAGTGGCCATCAGCTGGATCTTCCAGACAGCTGCTGGCCTCAGCCTCTGGGCAGGACCATCTGCTAAGATGGACCAGACTGGCCAGCCCAGGGCCCTCCTCCTGCCCAGCCCGGCCTCTGCAGCTGGCACCTGCCTGCTGTCCCGTGAGATGTGATATTTCTCACAACACCCTGGAACCCAGCCCAGCCCACCCCGCCGCAGGCAGCACGCAGCTCAGGGTGCCGAGAGCATCAAGGTGCTCCACCCTGTGTCCGAACACCTGGGGCAGGGCCAGTTACCTCGATGGTGACCACCTCCACCTGGACATTGCTTGGGAGGGGCACGCTGGGTTGGAAGTGCTTGGCCAGGGCCACGAGCAGGTGCAAGGTGGCCACCAGGTCCTTGTTGAAGATGGCTGGGGGGAGAGGAGTGTGGGTCATGCTGGGGGCCACCAGAGCCTGCAGCCTCGCGGACGCTTCCTCGCCACCAGGGCCCGTGGCAGAGCGAGGAGCCTGGGCCAGGCGCCGTGGGCAGGTGTGTGCCCAGGACACGGCCACCTCTGAGCTTCCAGTTCTTTTAAGTTTTTGTTGGGGGCTTGACATAGTGACTCTTTGGATTCTGCCAGTTGTCACAGCCCGAGGAGCACCAACCCCACCCACCGTGCACCCTGAGGGTCCAGGGTGACGCAGCCACCCACGGGCCAGAGAGAGATGGGAGGTGCACATTCAGAACCTAGAATAGTCCCAAGCTCCCAGCACCCACTTCAGCAGTGACGGCGCCCTGAGGCCGGGGCCTTGGACAGTGGCTCACTGGTGTCTTCCTTGAAAACAGCGACTGCCCACGGCCAGGCCTCCTGGGACAGTCACCCTCAGATTTAGGCCGACTGACAACATTGTCAGTGTTGGTCACTGGGAGTGAGACTCCAGACCCCGTGGTGAGTGCAGGGCCTGCCACCCGACAGGCCTGGGTCCGGGGGTGAGTCACGTCGTCACCACCCAACCCTGGAGAGGCTGCCGGTCTCCTCCTGGCCTCAGTGTTCTCATCTGGAAATACGGGGAGAACCCGGCGCCAAGGGGACGCGGCAGGCTGTGCGGGTGGAGCTTAAGTAAATCTATGACTGGCGAGGCCAGGTGGCGGCGCCCCTGGACTCCGCTGCTGCGTCACTGTCCCGAGACTCGACCTTGGGCTTCTGGGGCAGTGACGCCCTTGGGGCTCTGGTCTGCCCCTCCTCCTCCGGGCACCCTTCGTGCCTGCTGCCCAGGCTGCTCCAGGCCTCTGCTCCCTCCCTCCCGGGCAGGAGGCTGCTCGGCCTCTGGGCAGATGCCAAGTCTCCGTGCAGAGGGCACCAGGCTGCCCTGCCCTCCCGCGCCCGGGCCTGGCTGAGGCCCCGCTCACCCTCCACGCTCCACTTGGCCTGCGGCTCCTCCACCTGCAGAGCCCGGTTCACGGCCCCCAGGACGACCTCCAGCTTGCGCCTCTGACTCGCGGCGGTCAGGGCGATCTCCTCCACCTGCAGCCTGAGTCCCGCCAGCTTCTCTGAGGCAGGGGAGGGTGGTGAGGGCCCGGGACGGTGGCAGGGCCATGGCTGAGCTGGGACAGCACAGGCCTGGGCACACTGGGGGCGCAGATCCCGGGACCTCACCAGAGCCTCCGCAGGCTGTGCTCCTCAGCCTCCTGGGAGAGCCCTGTCCACATGGGCCACCGTCTAAAGGGGCACTCACGCCACGTGGCATGAGCAGAGCACAGCCCTCCCAGCCCGCTGCCCACCGCACCCGGGCGCTGGCCCCCCAGCCTCCCACAGCAGACGCTTCATTTCCGCAGGGCAGTGTGGCCTGGTGGTTAAGCCTACGCTCGAGGCTCGTCCCTGACCCCTCCCCACACACTGCTCTTCTAACTGTGAGGCTTTGGACAAGTCACCAGGCCCCTGGGAGCCTAGGGAGATGGCCCTGACCTAGGCACCCCTCCGACAGCTGGGCACCTCGCCCAGGGCGGCCTGTCCTCTCTCCAGCCCTCAGGGCGGCCCGAGGGTAGGTGCGGTGGGCTTCCTCATTAGCTCCCGGCCCCTAAAAACCAGCTGGTGCTCAGTAAATGCTGGCGAGGCGGGTGGTGCTGAGGGAGTTCAGCCCAGGGAGGCCCGGTCCCCAGCTCTGCCCCTGGGCTGCCCTCTCCCAGCTGGGGCCCTTCTAGGTAGGGCCCTGGAGGCCACCGTGGGTACAATGTCGGGGAAGGACGGTGTGGGGGCCCGCTGGTTGGGGAGCCACTCACGGAGCAGGTGGTGCAGGATGAGCCCGTCGAACATGTCCTCTTCCAGGCTGCGCACCACCACGTGCTCGGGGAGGAGGGCGGCGTTGATCCACTCCACCAGCACCTGAGGGCAGGGGACGCCCGGGTCACCCGCTGGCCGCAACCTCAGCCTGGTGGCTCCCCCCACCTGCCAGTGGGCCACCCTTCAAGGTCTGGCCAAGTCACCTCCTCTGCAGCCCCTGACCCCACACGCCAGGGTCACTCTGGGCTCCACAGACCCCGGATCTCTCCACCACACGAGAGCACCGAGGGTATCTTCACGAGTGACAGTAACAGTCACCTGTGGGCGGATGGGGACATGCCTGTGGAGCTGGGGCAGGGCTCTCAGGTGCTTCTGGGAAGGGGGGATGTCTGCCGGAACACGGGGCAGTGTGGGGTCAGCACTGACTGGAGCCCACTCCACAGCCAGGGAGGGCCTGCATCCTGACACAGGCACGGGCTGTCCCCCAGGCCCCCAGACTCCTGCGAGACTGCAAGTGGGACTTCTGGTTGCGTTCCCCCCGCTCTAGGCCGCCTGGTTGGGGGTGACATGTTACGGCTGGCACAGGGCGGGCACAGGGCTGCTGATGTCCTCCTCCAGCCCCACCCCAAGCTTCACCAGGGAGGTGTCACTGGCCAGCTGCCCCCACAGCTCTGCCTGGGGCTGTCCCTGGAGGCCCAACCCTGTGGGGACAGGTCACAGCAGGCGATGATACGAGGCACCGGGTGGGACACTGGGGCCTCTGCACTGAGCCGACTCTTGGGACACAGGCTTGAGTCCCCATGGCCATGACCATCCGTCCCTCTCTGCCTGACCCCTTCCTTCCACATCTGGGATGACCCCCAACCCAAATCCACAGCTCACGACCAGCTTCCGGGGACCCAAACCCAGAAGGCTGTGGGCCAGGGGGGCTCTTCTCTAGGACCCAGGGCCAGCGGGCTGTGCGCGGTGGCAGGTGGGAAGGGGGGGGGGGAAGGTCCACGGAGCCGCAGGGCACAGAAGGTGGAGGCCCGGGAGGCCGCCCTGGAGAAGGCCACAGACGGCTGCGCAGAGACTGGGGAAGGGGAGGCCCAGCCCACCAACGCCAGCCGGGCCAGCAGCAGGACCCATGGCCAAGCCGAGAACGAGAACGGGTGGCCCAGGCCCACACCCACCGGCCACCAGCTCCCCTCTGCCTTGGGTGGCCAAGTGGGAAATAGGACCAAGGCTGAGGGCCTGAATCAGACCGTAGCTATGTCATGGCGAGCTGGGCGGCCCACACAGTCTGCTACCTCTCCCTGGGACACAGGTGACAGAAGTCCCCATCGACAGTCATGAGGTGGATGGGGTGTGCCAGGCACAGGTTGGCGCTCGGCCTTCAGCAGGTCTCCAGGGCCTACGGGTCCCCCCTGTCAGTCAGAGGCCAAGGAAGGGAGAGGGCAGCCCGCTGTCCCCAGGTGGAGGCAAGTGCCAGGCAGGGGACGGACCCCCGAGCGCCGGTGCTGAGGGCTGTCCTACCTTTTGCAGTTCTTCAAACTTGGGGTCCTTCCGGGAACTGGGGGGCAGGTATTTCTTCTTTGCTCCTGGAAACAGAGGTGGGCATGATGCACGTGTGGGGCCCAGAGGAAGCCCGGCCACGGTCTCCCTGATGGTCACTGCAGAGCTGGGGCCTGGGCCCCGGGGGGCTTGTCCTGCACCTCACCTCGAACGCCCTCTGCTCAGGTCCCCCGCGAGCACCAGCTCAACCCCAGAGGCTGCGAGCTTTGTGTTTTGGGTCCTGCCTAAATTCAGAGTTTATTGCTTGTTTATGTGAAATTCAAACGTAACCGGGTGTCCTGCGCCTCACCTGGCAGCCCTGCCCTTCACTCTGGTGAAACCTCAGCTCACCCGGGGCCTCACCAGCTCCAAGGGCCACGGTGGACACTGCCCTGGCTGCCCGGCCGCGTCGGGCACTGAGACCAGCCCACGCCCTCTGAGGCCCCATGGCTCCCTCCTCTGAGGCCTCCATCAGCAGCTCCCCGGCATTTTAGACCCCAGGGCCCACAAGATGTGAGGCCTGCGGACCTCCAAGGTCAGCTGGCCCCGACATGTGGGGGACACGGAGTCAGCACACGGCCGCCGCGCCTGAGCTCACAGTGCAGCCTGGCCCCCGGGGACTGGCTAGAAACCCCAAACCCCCCCACACTTCCCAACCCCGAGGATCTCCTGGTGAGCAAGTGAGGGAAGGGTGGGTGGGAGAGTAGATGGAAGGAAGGAAGGAAAGATGGATGGGTGGTAGGTGGGTGGGTGGATGGGAAGGTGGATGGTAGATAGATGGGTAGGTGGGTGGATGGGTAGATGGGTGATGGATGGTTAGATGGGTGATGGATGAATGGGTGGGTGGATGGATGGATAGATGGTGGGTGGATGGATGGGTGGGTGGATGGGTAGATGGGTGGGTGATTGAGTGGATAGATAGATGGGTAGATGGATGGGTAGGTGGATGGGTGGGTAGGTGGGTAGATGGGTGGATAGGTGGGTGGATGGGTAGGTGGATGGGTGATTGAGTGGATGGATGGATGGGTAGATGGGTAGATGGATGGATGGGTGGGTGCATGGATGAGTGGGTGGGTGGATGGGTGATGTGTGGGTAGATGGGTGATGAATGGGTGATTGGGTAGATGGATGGATGGGTGGATGGGTGGGTGGATGGGTGGATGGGTGGATGGGTGGGTGGGTGGGTGGATAGGAGGGTGAATGGTTGAGTGGGTGGGTGGATAGGTGGGTAGATGGGTGGGTGGGTGGGTGATGGGTGGATGTGGGACCGCCCTCCTGGAGCGGGTTCCCAGGATTCCTGATCATCTCGAGTCCTAGCTCTGTGTTGTGGAACTGTAGGTGTCTCTAAGTCAACTGTAAAACAGAAAGTAAATATTTATTTCAAGTTTCTAAGCCCTACCACCCAGCTCAGCCGTCTTCCTTGTGATGGTTTCCAGGCTCCGGGGCTCATAAACCAGGAGGGACAGCAGACAGACAGGAAGTTGGCCAGCTGACTGGGAACAGAGCCGTCCTTCCTTGGGGCCTGGCCCACCCACCCCCGGGACCCTCTTGGCACGGGGGTTCTCTCCCCGTGGCGCCCACGTTGCCAGCTGTGTTCACAGGGTCAGCGCTCTGCTGTCTTCTCCTGCTGTCCCCGCTGTCCTGGCCTGGCCTTGCCCAGTGCTTCTGCTGTGGGGACCGGCTCCGTCCTGGGCTCACCGAGGGCCCTTCCCCCCAGGCCAGGCCTGCCGCCTGGCGCGTGGCGGTGTGGGACTTTCCGTTTGGGCACACGGGCGTGCGCAGCGCTGTGTGCCTGGCAGTGTGCTGTTTGGGGCGACTTCTAGGAGGGAGACTTCAGGGGCCATGCTCACCCCCGCGGATGGGATCGCTGGGGTCCTGTGCCCACCCACCTTTGGAAGAGACCCACTGTGTGAAGGGGCAGACCTACAGCCCCTCACCCTGCAGGCCACGGGACCCTGGGGAGGCGGCACGGCGTGGAGGGTGGACCCTGGGTCCTGCGGCCCCTCCTCGTCTGGGGGCCAGCTCCATCCTCACTAGCCGAGTTACAGGACATGGCTCCCCGGGCCTCAGGGTGAGCAATGGCACCCGCTCTTGGGAACAAAGCTCTGGGCAGAAGCTCTCAGCGCCAGCCGTGCTCGTTGGGCTGGCGCCAGCTTTAGCGGCACAGGAGGCCCTGCGGTGGGTGCAGAGGGCTGTGGAAGGTTCCAGAAGCAGAGCTGGGTCCAGCCTAGGTGAGGCAGAGGCAGGGCAGCAGCTTGGGAGCCCGGATGACCACCCAGGAAGCAGTCCCTTGTGACACAGACCCTCACCCTCGGCCCCGGCCGCAGCCCCCAGCCACTTGGGCGCACCTTGTGGGAGCTGCTCCCCCGTGGGCAGGGCCACCTCGCTGGGGAGCTGCAGTAGGTTGTACAGGGACTCTGGCTCCATCTTCTCTCTGGCTGGCCCTGGAGGACGCAGGGGACAGAGGGTGTCAAGTCCCAGAGCCCTAAACTCACTCTGTGCTTATCTATCATTTGCTCCTGCCCAGGAGGCTGGGGGGGGGGGGGGGCGTGGAGTTCAGCTCCAGGTGGACAGGTCACCATGAGGGCCCAGGTGAAGGGACGGGGTCCCGGGTGGGCACGAGGCCTACGCACAGGATCGAGGACACACCAGGAAAGGTTTGTGGAGTGGGTCCTCCCCGCCCCCCACTGTGGGTGCCGAGCAGCCCTCCCAGGCCGGCAGGGCCCGGTGGGCTCCCCCTCCCCAGCAGCCGGCAGAGCCAGCTCAGCCAGTTCCTCAGAGCTCAGAACCCCCACCCCCGGCTCAGCAGGGGGCCGGCCTGCGTGTGGGCTGGCAGACGGCACTGATGGATGACATCCCAGAAGTTAGCTCCTGCGGTGGAGCAGGCCAACGGGGCCTCTGGGCCCAGGGCAGGCTGAGCAGAGGGGGCTGGAGGGAGGGGCCGAGCCCGAGCCCCCAGGCCGTCCCCACCCTGCAGCTTGGGTGGACCAGCAGGACTCTCCCAGCACCCCGGGCCTCTCAGGGAGCGAGGTCTCAGGACTCCTTGTTGTCACTGCTACGGGCCCTTCCGGTTCCCCAACCCTCTTCCTGTCTCTGGTTCCAGTTGCTGAGGGCCAGCAGCCTCCCCCCTCTCTCTCCAGCCCCTGCTCCCCCCCTTTCCAGACTCTCTCAGACAGCCGGGTGGGCAGGGCACCCACGGGGGTCCAGGCAGGGAGCCCCCACCTGCGCCCTGGGGAGGTAGGGGACTCGAGGGCCCTGGAACCCCCTCTTTGGGCTCACAGTGGCCCTGCTCTGAAGTGGGGCAGGGGGCACTACACTGGCCCCACAATTCCCATGTCCAGGGGACACTCAGATGCAGCCTGGGCCACAGCTGCAAGAGGGGAAAAAGCCCTGGCCTGGGCTCGGGGGGCCTGGGTTCCAGGCAGGCTCCTCCTCACGCGGGCTGTGCGACCTCAGACAAATCCCCTCCCCTCTCTGGTCCTCATTCATCTTGACAAGGAGGGGCTGGACTCAATGCTGGACCAAGGTGACTGAGGGGACACAGACGTGGACTGTCTCTGGTGGCCAGCAGCCCTGGGCAAGGCTCTCTTCTGCCCCAGCCTCAGTGGCTTCCCAGAAGGGGGGTCGCCTTTCTCCCCCAGGACTGCATGAAGCTGAGAGAGGCCAGGGGGGTCGGGGAACGTCTCCCTGGTACAGGGAGAGGCACAGCAGGGTCCCTGGAGTCTCAGCAGGTCCTCCGTGAGATGGGGAGGGGGTGAGGCAGCCTCTAGGCGCGATGGTGGGAGGGCCTCGGTGTTGACCTCTGCCCTCCCAGCCCGGGCGGCCTCAGCCAGGCGGGCTCCTTCCCAAGTGGCCCTGATCTGGCTTCCAGGCACGTGGACAGGCAGGGGTTCCAGCGGCCGAGGCCTTCCCCAGGCCCAGATGCAGGGACTCACCTGGCGCCTCCTGTACACGGGAGATCAGGCCTCCCCGAGGGTCCTCTGCTGCTGGGAGAGGCAGGTTCCGCTTCCTGGGCGGGTGGGTGGCCGGGGCCCTGCGGGGGCGGCAGGGGCCCTGCGCACTTCCTCTGGGGCCTGCTCTGCTGGTGGCGGTGGCCGCGGGGAGCTTCCTCCTCTGTGCTGAGGGCCAGGAGGGCGCTGGGAGGACCAGGCTGCAGGAGCCCACGGGAGCCCGGGCCCCACCACCAGCCTGGCTCCCAGCCGCGGCCTCGCAGGCACCTCCAACGGGGCATTTCCGACCTGACCTCCTCCCCTCCTTCGCCCAAACCAAGCCACTCCCTCCCCTCACCCACCTCCCAGGGGCAGCTTTTGAGGCCAGGACCTGCGGGGAGTGGGGGGGGTGGGGGTCGGCATCCCACACCCCAGCCACCAGCAGACTGTCCCTCTGCTCCACCTCTGACCCCAGGCCTCCTCCCCTCCCCTACACCTGCAAGTCCCAGGGTCCTCCAACCCTGCTGGCCACAGCTCCATCCTCTCCCCTGACCTCTCTGCCCTCCACCCTTCAGCCCTGCTGACCCCCTCCTGTTCCCTCGGTGTCCTACTTGGCAGCTCTGACTCTTCCCTGCCTGGAAGCCCTGCCCGGCTCTGCACTTGGACCTCGGTGCCCCCTCCTCCAGGAAGCCTCCTGCTCTCTCAGGTAGGTCCTCCCTGGGATTCTTACCAGGGCCCCTGAAGGCTCCTCGTCAGCCCCTCTCTCCCAGCTCTTGGCCTGTGACCACACCGTCGCTCAGTGGGGGCCGCAGGCTGCTGTTTGAGACAGGTCTCCACCTGGGGGCGGGGGTTCTGCAAGGGCAGGGCGGCTCTCTTTTGCCCGCTGGTGCCAAAGCCCAGAACAACCCACGCACAAGGTGGGCTCAAGGGATAAACTGGTGGCTATTATTGCTGAGGGGATGAGGGCAACTTCCTAGAGGGGACAGGGCCTCGGTGGCTGAACAGGAGTCTGCTGGTTAGAGACCCGGGAGGGACCCCGGAGGCTCTGGAAGCAGCACACACAGAGCCTCGGGGGGTTCGGGAGAGACCCCGGCACAGCGGGTTTGCCGGAGAACACCTGAGACCTGGGCTGGTCTCTGAGCTTAAATCTTCATGACCAGATGGACTGTGAGTTTCCACAGTGACAGGCAACCATGCTGGGGACCAGGAGACAAGCCACCCTGTCTTGGCCAAGAGATCAGAGAAGTGGCCAGATCAGGCAGGCGGAAGAGCAGGGCAGAGGCAAGAGCAGGGAGGTGGGCATGAGGGCGACGACACGCAGGATCCCCGCTCATTCCCCCGACTGCTGAGGAGGAGACCGACGCGGTGGTGAGCGCGCTGAGTGCCCGGAACCTGCCGTGGAGCAGGGTCCACCATCAGCCCACACCAAGGAAGAAACAAGGGCTCCCCAACAGTCTGTGCCATTCCAAGGTCCCCGGGCAGGACTGGGGCTCACAAGGACCCAGGGAGAGAGAAAGCCCCATTGGGACCTGTGTCACGGGGGTTGGGAGAAGGCTCAGCCTGGCTCCGGGTCCCATGGTCCTGGTGGCAGCCTCTGAACCTGGATCCCGGCCCCAGCAGCACATCAGAGGGCTTCACCCACCTGCTTTCAAATGCAGGAACTGAAGGGCCTGGATCGGGGACCCTGCACCCAGTGAAGAAGGTGGGAGAAGGCGGAGCCCCAGCTCAGCCGTGGGTGGGGCCCAGGGTCCGAGGGCCCAGGAAGGCCATTTCAGAAACTGCTCTGGGAGCCGCTGGAGAGAGCCTGTCCTCCACCAGGGCCAGCTACTCCCTGGTGGGCAGGAATCCAGCTGAGACAGGACAGGTCACCAGACACAGCAGCAGGCACTGTGTCCTCCAGTTATGGAGAGAGGAGCTCTGCAGATGGCGGCCCTTGGGGGCCAACACGCTCCCCTGTGACTGCTCGGCTCTGAGTGGCGGTGAGGTCCCAGCTGCGCAGGGGAGCTGTGGCTTCCAAGGGGAGGATGGGAATTGGAGGACAGCAGGGAGAGCTGGCTTTTGATTGTAAACCAAAGGTTTAACACAAGAAAAGAGCCGTTCCAGGGCTTTAAATTCTCAGTTCAGCGCGGGCATGTTTAGAGCACCAGGGACTTTTGTGATGGCTCAGAAGGAACTCTTATCTCTTGGAGCGGCCGGGAGGACAGAGCTGAAAATCAGACGTGGGATCTAATCCTGTGTGATGTGGAATTAGGACGCGGCTAAACCCGCAGCCGCTGAGCCTTTGGTGCGAAGGGCAGAAGGAAAGAAGGGGCGTTGGGAAGACAGAACAGTGGCTGCGAGGAGCCAGGCTCGAGCGTCAGGGGGACTCTTCTCAGCAGAAGCAGCCCTTCCCTGGGGGAGAACCACCGTGATGCCTTTGGAGATGTCCCTTCCTCCCCTCCCCCACCCCATCACTCCCACAACCTGGGACATGTGTATTCCTGTGGTCAGTTCACACTGTCCTGGCTGGACCAGCAACAGGCCTCGCCTAAAAGTAGAGTGCTTTTTAAAAAAATTGCCAACGTTTGCTAATTTATGTCAGCAGAGGAGGTGGGAAAGGTGCAGGACTGGGTTTCAGGGGGGTCGGGAGCGGGCGTTGAAGGAGCTGCTGCCGCAGCGCGCTCGCAGGAGGGACTGGGCGCTGGGCGCTGGCAGGAGCCACCAGGGGCTCCACTGCTTGACAGTTGGTGGCTGAAAGTGGGCTCAGCCTGGTCAGTGCTGAGTGACGGGATGGTGGCGATTCCTGGAGGAGGGTCCAGAGGTCGCCCTGGGAAGTGCCGCAGTGACCGTCTCTGCAGCTTAGAAATGGCGTTGTGAGATGTGCCTGGGCTCCCTGAACTCAGGGGGTTGGGGTCATTCCGAAATGCAGAGGCCGAGGAGCAGTGGCTGACCACACCCAGGGGACGACTAGGAGGCAGGAGGTGTGACCAGAGCCAGGCTTTTACTGATGATCTTGCAAGATGGGGCATCTGGGGGGCAGGCACGCCCAGGGCAGCGACTATTTCCTGGGGCGCAAGGTCCCCCCCAGATCCTCACTGGCCGAGTACCTTGCCGAGGTTTGACTGTCTCCTACTGGGTTATTCAAAGAGGTACCTCGAGTTGTCTCCCCGGGGAGTGAAGGACACAGTCACCTACAGACACGGTCAGCACAGCACGTCCACAGCAGCCCTGGGCCCTGTGTGCAGCGCTCAGCTAGCGAGCGATGCCCGTGATGGTGATGCCGAGTTCTGTTTCTGCAGGTGTTGAAGTTTGAACATCAGAAGGGAAACAACGCTGGGGCAAGCAAAGACAGCAAGTTTTATTTAAAGACTAGTGACACAGACTTCTCGGCAGGGAAGGGGACCCAGAGTTGGTATCCAAAGAAGTGGGCGTGTCCTGTGCCTTTATCAGTTTTAGATTCTCTTTGTCCTCTTCTCCTTGACCTCTCTCCACCCTGCGAGAACCCTCCTGGGGACGCGCTGAAAGGTGGGAAGCAAATGAGCCATGGGAAGGGCCGAGTGGTGGGCTGATTGCCGCAGGAAGGGAGCCCAGGAGGTGCTTCCTGAACGCCTTTTGGGAGGAACGGTTCAGGCAGGTAACCTTGGTAACGGGTGGGGGAAGGGCTCTGAGGCAGCAGCGTTCCCAGAGGCTGTCTCCGGACTCCCAGGCCAAATCAGCTTTCATCTCCCCTGTCTACAACCGGATCACCTGATCCAGTCTACACTGACTGCCTGTCCTTAATTCTGGCTTCACAAGCACATTTTGCTCCATCGAAGTACACACAGGAGAGCGGAGTCGGCAGGGAGAGCAGGCGCTTTCCTGCCCAGAGCTACGTAAACTGTGGGCGCTGAGATCTCATTGTGGAGAGACCACGTCAGCCCTCCTGGGGCCACCTGTCGTCAGCTGACGCCAGCCAGCCAGCCACGCGTGTGCAGGGCTCCCCTGGCCCTGGGGCAGTCAGAGCTCCCAGCTGGCTACTCATCCACAGCCCAGAGCCACTTCATCTGTCCATCAGTATGCCACGCAAACTCTGTCACTCTGCACGTGTTCCATGAGGTGACAAAGAGTGGGAGGCACTGTTCTGGATGCCTGGTGGGGACATGCTAATCTAGCCACCTGGAAACTCTCTGGGGACCTACTTGTCTGGCAACAGGGCTGAGCCCTCCCCAGTGAAGTTTCAGGAGCCTCACCTTGCATCTCTGACAACCAGCAAAGGTGCGGGGCTGGGGTGTGGCCCGGGGCACAGTGGCTGCCTAGCGGGCACAGGGCCTGCGGTTGACCCCAGCACCACCCAAAGGAGAGGCTCAGCGCTTGATGACAGAGACCCTCCGGATCTCAAAGGCAGCTCACTTGGGACCCTCCAGCCCTTGCTCAGAGTAACCTGCGGGGCTGCCCAGTGGTCCCAGCTCTGGAGGAAGTGCCCAGAGTCCTCCACCTGGCCCTGGTGACCCCGCTGCAAACATGAGAGGCAGACCAGGGGCTGAGGGGGGCCTCACAGCCCCTGGTTATTTCTGTGAGCTGGGGCACAGCTGGGGCCCCCGCCACGACCCAGTTCCTGTTTTGCCGGATGCAGTCGGGAGGTGGCGTGTGAGAAAGCAAGCCTGCCCCACCCCACCCCACCGCGCTGCGCATGGAAAGGTGGAAGAAATGGCAACTTTTTATGTTGTGGGTTTTTCCCAACTAAAACGTCTTGAAGTAAATAAATTGCAGAGGTCTTCTCACTCATCTCCACCTACCTCAGAACCTGAGAACAAGGACCCTCTCCTACACAACACTGAACATTAGGACACCCAAGAAATCTACCATGACATGTTTTCTTAACATTTCACTCATATACGGATTTGCCAAGTGCTCAAAATGCCTTTTATCACCGTGTGTGTGTGCACACGCATGTTTGTGCACACATGTGCACGTGTGTTTATTACTCAAGGGTCCAATCAGAGACCACATGCTGCTGTGATTGCCTTGGTGACTCGTGACTTGTAGAGCCCTTGGATATAGAACAGTCTTTCAAGACATTAACACTTTTAAAGCGTCCTGGTCAGCGGGCTGTGGAACCCACCATCTGTCACTCTTTGGTTCCTCTTATTGACTATTCCCCCGCTGGCTCTAAGTCACCCTCTTGTTGTTTCTTGGTCCCTACATGTCTAGGCGTTTGTATTGAAGGTTGGACAGCACAGTTTTATGTGGAGAGCTGGACTGTGCAGCACCTGGGTCACCTTGCTCCCTCTCTGTTCCTAAGGTCTCAGGCCTGGTCTGCTTCTCATCTAATGCCTCAAACCACGGCTTCCTGTCTTTAGTTTTCTGGTTCTTTCTGGAGGAAACGTAACTCCATAGCCAAAAACTCTTTTCCCATAAGTACCTGTCCATCAAAAAGAGGGGTATATAGTCCAAGTTCAAACTGATGACCCGATCTTAACAAAGTCATCGAAATGAGCCTCCTAAAGGACAAAGCAACACGGCATGTCCCCCAGTGATGCGCTGAGAACACCTCTGCCCCAAGGTGCATGAAGCCTCCAACAGCCCAAGGTCCGATGGTAATGCACGACCTGTCTCTGCCCTGGGGATGAAGGACGTGATGGAGACGGCTGAATACAGCCCAGGTGGCAGTTAGCTCATGCCGCCCCATCTGCTGATCAGGACACCTGTGCTGTGTCACGTGAGAGTGCTGCTAGGAAACAGACCCAGGCGCAGAGGGAGGTGGTGTGTAACACTCTGAATAACGTGGGGGAGATGGCGCACTCGGGTAAACAAGGCAACGTGGGTGGAAAGACACACATGGTTATTATTTCAAGAGAGGGGCACAGAGATACAAGGAGAAGAGGGTGAAGCCCCGCGTGGAGCGATGGCAACATTTACAGGCTCTAGGTACCACCCCTGGTCTCTGCCTCCAGCTCTCCTTTGATACTGTATAAAAATAAGCCACGAGGGCCAGGTGGGGCGGAGTGCGCTGGTGATCCTGCACCCGGGATCCCAGCTGCTTGGGAGGCTGAGGCAGGAGGATCCTAAATTCAAGGCTAGACTCAGCAACTTAGTGAGACCCTGTCTCCAAATAAAAAAATTTTTAAAAGGCTGGGAGTTGTAGCTCAGCCATAGAGCGCTGGCCTCGTACTTGTGAGGCCCTGGGTTCAATTCCCAGCACCACATAAAAATAAGCAAATGAAATAAAGGTCCATCAACAACTAAAAAATTACTTAAAAAAATAAAAGGGGCTGGGGATGTGGCTCAGTGTCGGAGCACCCCTGGGTTCAATCCCCAGTATCCCCCCCCACCAAACTTTCTAAAAATTAAATAAATTTTTTAAAAAAACCATTAAGAGAAAAAAGTCCTTATTCTCACCCCGTCATTAGGGATGCAGGGGTGTGCTCGGCTCACCGTCACACACTGTTCCTCACCACACCACCACTGTCATGGCGTCACAGCCACCAGAGCCTGCCCTGGAGCCTGCCCCTGGGTGACCCGGCCTTCCCCCCAGGGGCTTGCCTCCTGTTCACTAGTCGATTCGTTTTAAAAAGTTGGTGTGGGGAAGAGACTCTAGAGCCAGTCCACCAGATCACCGGATCAGCAAAGGCCATGTGGCCTTGAAAGTGACGTGGGCCTTGGAGGCGACCTGGTGCCCTGGCTCTGCCCTCAGGCCTCTCACTCGCCCATCCCAGAGCCATCGGCTCCACTCCACGCGGCAGGCACCCCCTGCTTGTCCTCCGCCTCCTGTCTCCAGAGTCTCCAGGCCCTGTCCCCTGCTGCACCCTGGGGCGCCTAGCATGGGGCTTGGCATGAAGCAGGCACTTGGTAAACACCCAGCGCGTGCTGGGGTCCCCCGCTCTGTGGCCCGGGGAGAGCCTGCCCCCCAGCAGTGACAACTCATGGGATCAATTAAAACTCCAAGGACGGGGGAGTTTCCACTTAGAGCCGAGCTTCCCCACAAGTCCAGGTCCTGGAAGAGCAGCGAGTGTCCACCCTGCAGCGGCCGAGGTGGGGCCAGCCATAGTGCTGAGCCTCCTCTCCACTCTGAGGTCTCTGCCTCCTCTCCACTCTGAGGCCTGCTCCCTGGGCTGCAAGGCAAGGAGGGGACCCCTCCTGCAAAGACCCTCCCACAGCGAGAGGACGGCTGGACTGGGGGCTCCTAAGGGCCCTGAGAGCAAGGGTGTCCACCCAGAAGGCGACAGAACAGCTTTTAAGAGAAAGGCTCAGCGCAGGTCTGGAGCCGGCCTGGGGCCCTGGGCTCCTCGGCTGGCCTCCTTGGACTCCCTGCGGCGTCCTTCGTCACTGCGGCTCACCTGCAGGGCTCAGGCCAGGGGCGAGGTCTGTCCGCTTGCCCAGGTCTGCACGAACCAGACCCTGAGCAAAATGCCCACTGAACAGGGCCAGCAAGCTCTCTGGAGAGCCGCTCACCACTGCTGGCCTCAAAGAACCTGCACGGAGGGGAACGGTTCCGTCCTCCTCCATATTAACAGGGAGCCCCCCACAGAGGCAGTGGACACGGGCTGGCTCAGGGCTTCCAAGCCGCAGCACCACGGGCATCTGGGCAGGATGGCTCTTTGCTGGCCTCATCAGAGCAGGCCAGCAGCACACCTTTCCTGAGTTGTGACGACCAGCACTGTCCCCAGACCCTGCTACACATCCCTGAGGGCAGAACAGGTGGGGACGGCTGGTTTTGAGGGCGGGAGGCTGAACTATCCCTCAGAGCCCTGCTCTGGAAGGCCCGGGTGAGCTGACCTACCGGCGGCCACCCAGGGACAAACTTGGACTCCACCCTGTGTGCGTCTCGGACCAGCTTCTCACAGCCCCCATCTGTCATTTTCTGTTTCTTAAATAGCACTGCTACCTGGCCGTCCTGCTGCCCGCCCAGGGCTGGCCACAGCTGTAGCAGTCCTAGGCTCCTGCGGTGTCCCAGGACTTCTGCCCAGGAGGGTTGGAGGTGGGGCTGGTGTAGATCACCAAGTTTAGGCCACCACTGCCGTTACCTGGGTCCCCTGCCCCAGAGTCAAGGGTGGTCACTCACTAGCACACGAGGCTTCGTGACTTCCTGTCCCCTCCACAGCAGTGGCCGATTTATCCAGCCTGTGCCCAGGGCCAGCGGTGGTCCAGTTCTGGCCAGAGGGCCCAGCAGGCGGGGCTGTGGAGTCACGTGGGCCCAGCACTGGGCAGCCGGGCAGCAACTTCTAAGTGCACAGAAGAGAAAAATAGCAGCCAAAAGAGCAGGCGGCCGAGCGGCCCTTTATTGGAATAAATAACAGCACGCGAGGCGCCTGGGGCACTTCCCCAGCCACAGCTCCCGCTCGGAGGCGCTGGGCCTTCATGTCGCAAGCAGCATGGCTTCCTGCTGTCAGCCAGGCGGGTCTGATCAAAGCACAGCCAGGGCTTTAGTGGCTTTTATTTAATATCCAGAAATCCAAAGGAAACGTCCTTTGAACAATTAAAAAGACAATAACATAGCGGCACACAAAGGAACAGAGGATTCAGCTATTCCAAAATAAAACCGCCCTCCACCACAGCCGCAGGACACGGGGGGGGGGGGGGGGGGGGGTGTCAGGCTTGCACAAGGCCACGTGGGAAGGGGCCACAGCTGCAGGTGGCCAGGCCAGGGGCCGGACCAGCCCCCGCCCAGGAGCCTGGGAACCCGGGACTCCTTGTGCAGGGGCTGTCCACGCCTTTGCCCCCACGGGTGGACACAAATGGCCTTGCCTTCACCTCGCTGCCATGGGCCAGGCCCCGCTTCAGAGAAAAATCATCATGAGGATGTGGCCTGGAAGGAGGAAGAACCTTCCAGAACTTCCAGAACTTCCCGGCACAGGGGCCCTCAGAGCCGGCCCTCCCTCTCCCACCCAGGCCGGGCAGGGATCAAGAACAAGGAGACCTGAAGGGACCCTGCAGGTCGTCTGCACCCACAGCCCCAGGAGAGACCCTGCCTCCTAAACCTCAGCCTTTACCGGTCCTGCTGTGAGCCAGCCGCCTGCCCGGCTCCCGCACATCCGCGGCCCCTCAAAGTGTCCTTCTTGAAAGGGAAGAGCGGGGAGTGGCCTGGCCTGAGGCTAGGCGAGTGTCCAGCAGGGCTTTAGGGGCTGCCTCAGAAGCTGAAGCCCCTCCCGCTGACCATGTCATCCCCCTGGATGACGTGGATCAGGCTGAAGCTGCCCGAGTTGGCTAAGAGGCCACAGGTGCGCTCTCCAGATCCTCATCTCCGTCCCCCTCGCCCCCGAAACCCCTGGGGATGAGCAACGTCCCCCCAGGCCCGCCTGAGAGCAAGGCCGGGCGGGTCCAGGCCACCGGCCCTGGTGGCTAGGACTCTGTGCGAGTCATGAAGGCAGCGCGGAACGTTCCGGCCCCGGATATTTTGTCAAGGAGGTCTTTAATGTCACTGCATCCCGCAGGAGATGCCGTAATGCCGTTTTAATTATTTCTTTCTCCTGCTGGGAAACCACCTCCATCAAAATGCTCTTCTCAACCCATCCCAGCCTAGCAACTGAGCCAGGGAGGACATTCAGAGCACTCTCAGCCTTCAGCCCGACCTTCAATCAACATTAACCCTGACCCCCAGCCCCGGTCTGCAGGGGGCGGGGGTCTAAGAGGCGGAGAGGCCTGTCCTCCTGTCGCTAATGAGCACACAGAGCTTGGAGAGGGGGCTGGCCGGGCAGGGGCCAGGAGGAGACAGCAGGGGAAGGGCCAGGGCATGCCACAGAGCAGGACGCCCTGCGGCCAGGGCCCGGCCAGAGAACACAGCTGAGGGGACGCCATTCCTCTCCTTGCAAGCCAAGGTGACCAGGGTGAAGAGCTTAACTAGGTGACACAGAGAGGGAGATGCCATGGGAGCACCGTGAGGACAGAGATGGACACTGCATGCCCCCCTCATGGGCTGTATCGTGTCCCCTAAATTCAGCCCCAAAGCCCAGGGCTGCAGTGTGACCACATCTGGACATGGGCCTTAAGAGGTAACAAGGAAATGAGGTCATGTGGGCAGGCCCTGCCTCGTGTGACTTGTGTCCTTAACAGAGACGCTGAAAGAGGGGGACCTGTGAAGACCAGGGAGACGCGGCCAAGGACGAGGCCACCTGGCCCCTCGACCTTGGCTTCCAAGCTACGGGACGTGGATCCTCTGTACTCTGAGCCTTCCGCCCTGCGGGCCTAGCAAAGGAACAGGCCGCCATCCCCGACGGGCCATCCCCGAAGGGCCATCCCAGACCGGCCTCGGGATCAAGCCGCCTCCAGCCAACTCCTGACCAGCCCTGGGCCGCTGCAGGAAGCCAAGGAATGCCCCCAGCCAATCCTCCCTCTGCCTGTGGCAGGGCACGGGTCCTGGGAGCTCACGCTAAAGGTCAGTAAGAACACAGAGTGGCCAAGAAGTCACGGGAACCAGAGGGAGGGAGGACACTGTGTCACACCCAGGGTTCCGGGGACGTGAGAGTTGAGTTTTTTAATTGCAAAACCCTTTTGTCAAAAAGGCCCCTCGTCCAAGGGCAGCCCCGCCGGGGAAATGCCCGAGCCCCGCACAGCCAGGGTGGACGGAGAGACCAGGCCACCAGTGGGAGCGGCAGCGCGGCCAGCGGAGGTTGGGCCCGAGCTTCTCCGTGTCATCTTTTGACAACACAGTCAACCCCTCGGCCTGCCCGGAGGGAGGGAGGGAGACCCGGAGCCCAGCCGTGTCTAGAGGCTGCATTTTCCGAGGTCTTGGCCACTGCAGGGTTGCAAGGAAAGCAGGTGAATGGCCACCAAAGCAGGCAGGGATGGGAGGGGCCACACAGCCGGGGCGGAGCAGGGCGTCTCCCTGAGAAGGGCCTGGGCCTGGGGCACGGTCCCCGCTTCTCTTGCCCCGACCGTCCCGCGCCGTCTGGGGTCCCCGTCACTCCACGTTCTTGTACTTGGTGAACAAGTTGTACAGCACCCGCAGGGTGGACTTGAGGTCAAGGTTCACCACATCTGCAGAAGGACACAGAGACACCGTTGGCAGAGGAGAGAATGTGCCCTGCCTGGGGTCACCACGGGCTCTCAGCCACCATGGGCACAGCTGAGCGCTTCGGCATGAGGCTACTGGCCGGCGCATGCAGGAGACCCCGGCGTGATCATCCCCGGACACACAGGCTGCGTGGAGAGCCCCCACCAGGGCCACCACCTTTTGTGGGGACAAGCACACAGGCCTCGTGGGATCTGTATCAGGACATGTTCAAGGATGGGTGGGCAGGTGGCCCAGGGCACTTCCCGGATGGAAGGCCAACTCCAATAACACGCACGGACCCATGGACTCTAAGTGTGGGCTGCTGTCTTCGGTGGGGAGGGGACCTTGTTGGGAGTTGGGCACCTGGCTCTTCTCACATGCTCTGTGGCCTCACATGCGTGACTTGGATGGTCTGGGCTCCCGCCTCCTCTCCTCTTAACCCAGTGATGCTGAAGGCCCTCAGCTCAGCCCCCCATGTCGAGGGCCACCCTGCACCAGCCCTGTGGGTAACTAGTACTGAGAGCCAGACACGGCAGGCGCAGTCGGCTCTGGACCTACCACCTCCCCGGGACCTGGGGTCCCAGCTTGTCCAGGTGGGTCACTGGCACGGCCTCCTGCCCTCCCCCGTTTGCAGATGAGAAGACCAAGATGGCGGCCGGGAATGGCTTGCCTACCTGAGGGAGCTCCAGTACTCTGTGGGGGGCCCAGAGCCCCTGGCCCCCTGGGTCACCCCAGCCCCCAAAAGCCAGGGTAGGTGCAGTGGGGAGGGCAGAGGCCACAGAGATCAGGCGGCCATCATGGGGACACGTGCAGGTGTAAGCCAGCACCCTGCTCCCTGTCCTGACAGAACCCACCCTCACAGGGTCACAGGACTTACACCCCCTCAGCTGCCCCAGATCTGACATCAAAAGGCTTCAAAAGCCACATTGGGGTGCCCCACCAGACCCTGGTACGCACAGGACCATGTGGCTCCCACAGCAGGACGGGAGTCCCTCCTGGGGCCCACGAACCCAGCCTCTCCCCAGAGGCGCTGGGTGTCCCTGTGGGCTCCCAGGCCCCTGTGAACCCCAGATAAGGCGAGGTCTTCCCAGCCAAGGGCCCTCCTGTGTGCAGGCGGGACCACAGCTCCTGGCCCTGCGGCGTCCTCCTGTGGGGCCCGGGGGGATGGAGGTCACGGTTTTTTTCACGCAGGACCCGTCAGTGCCTCGGGTGTTCAGCACCCCCCACCCCGCGACTTCCCAAGAGGGCCACGGGGTGCTGCTCACCCTGAATCCCCCAGGGCCCCTGCCCAGCTCCTGCACTGACCAGGACACTGGGCGGCCAATGCCATGGCCGTGCCAGGTTCTGGGGTCCCCAGACCAGGAGCATCAGAGGCCAGGAAACTTGATATCAAGGGAAACTGCTGGGTCCACCCTCACCCTGACCTCAGTCGGCACCCTAAGAAGCGCCCCCACCCCCACTCAGGTGCTGGCTCAGGTCTCTGGGACAGGTGACGACCTCCAGCCAGGCGGGGTGCTGGGTGAGCCCTCAGGCTGCCTGGGCCGTCCCTCCGAGACCCGCCGGGATGTGAAGGTGCCGTCCCGCTCAGGAGCCTCGCCCTCTGCCCGCCGTCGGGAGGCCCCCTTAAATCTGGGAGCCTTTAATGTCCTCTCAGGGCACGAAACTCCTTTTCCAGCCGAGCGGCCAAGGCCAGAGGTCTTCAGCCCTGAGGTCTGCAGGCAGAGGCCGCGTCCTTCAAAACCAAGAGGCTCTTACAGAACTGGCCCTGCTGACCCTGCCCACACGCTCAGCCTGGACCCCGAACAGGGGAAATGAGCCGGAGACACGGACGTCCAGGGTCCAGCCACTTCTAAGTCCTGGTTTCCGTCCCTGCCACATGGGAGCCTGCCAAGGGCCTCCTGCCAAGGGCCGGGCATTACCTTCAGGGCGAGCCTTGGGCCTCCTCAGTCCGCCGTCCAGCATCAGCTCAAAGGCGAATGACACGTTGTGGACCTGCCAAGGAAGAATCAGTTCAGGACCTGTGGCCACCTGCACTGGGCCTGCCCGTGACCCGCTGATGAGGTGACGGGAACAAGGGTGGGCACGAGGGAACAAGGACCCAGGGAGCCTGGGGCAGAGCCCGGGAGGGAGCAGAGAGAAGGGACACTCCTCCTCACACCAGGCTTCTGGGGCTGGGGGACGGGAGGAGGGAGGCACGGGCCTGGTCTCGAGGCCTCGTGACCACGGTGCCTGCTCTGCCCCAGACCCAGACCCAGACCCACAAGGAGAAGCGGCAGAGATCCCATTTTACAGACGAGGAAACTGAGGCTCAAGGAGGACAAGATCCTTGCAGAGCACCCAGTCCTGGGCACTGCCCTGCACAAAGCAGCCCCTTCTAACTGCCGCAGTGGCTGTGAGGAGTGGGCACACACAGGGTGGCCTGGTCAACTGCAGGACACGGTGCTCTGCAGGCGGCAGGGGCTCAGCCCTGAACAGGCACCGTGGACCCTGTTGGAACTGAAGTCAGCTGGAGGGTGGCTGCAGAGTCGGCCTGGCCCAGCGCTGCCCGATGCAGCTGTCCTACCCCGCGTGGCTCCTCCCTGTGACCACAGGGTCTAGTGCCACTCGCTCCAAGGGGCTTGATTCACTCCTTCTGCTAGTGACTGCTGGAGAGTCACTAGCAGACCAGGGGCCGCTGGGCTGTGCTCAACGTCCAGGGTCAGCCACACCACACCCAGCACCCACCTGCCGCCAAACCCACAGGCTCCACACAGGACTCAGCTGGGAAGGACTCGGGGCCCTGAGCCACGAACTCCCCGTGAGCAGTAATGTCCCCCTGATTTCAGTGTAAGTGCAGCAGAAACAAGTGATAATTTAGAAAAATATATTTTTAGCAGTAGATGGACACAATATCTTCATTTTTTTTTTTTAATGTGTTGCTGAGAATTGAACCCAGAGCCTCACATGCTAGGCAAGTGCTCTACCACTGAGCCACCGCCCCAGCCCCAGATAATGATTTTACTGCCAGCACCAGTTACTAATTAACTGGGACCAGGCGCATGGCACACGCCTGTTATCCCAGCAACTTGGGAGGCTGAGGCAGGAGGATCACAAGTTCAAAGTCAGCCTCAGCAACTTAATGAGGCCCTGAAGAGCTTAGGAAGACCCTGTCTCAAAAAAATAAAACACAAAAAGGGCTGGGGACGTGGCTCAGTGGTTAAGCACCGCTGGGTTCAATCCCTGGTGCCAAAAATAAATCAAGGACTAAGCAGGGAAAAGGTGTTTGGCAAAATCACCCTCAGGGAGTGGCACCCAGCTTGGGGTGCCCAGAGAAGCAAAGCACCCGCTGCACGCCAGCCCCGGCCAGGCACGGGGGTGTGGCCCCGAGAGATGCGGGCCATGTGCACAGGCTTGCTGGGCGGGATGACCGGAGGCGCTGCCCTGGGAGGCTCCCTGGCCATCCTGGAGGCAGACTGGAATCAGCCGATGGAAACAGGACAGGCCCACGGACAAGGGCAGGACCTGGGGATGGGGGCTGCGCCTCTGGGCCCAAGGGTGGGGTGAGCCCTGGGAGCAGAGACGGGGCTGGAGCCAGGATGGGCAGCTGGGCAGGGAGAGCGGCCACGGGGCTAGGCGGGGCGGGACGTCCATGCCAAGAGAGGTGCAGGCTTGAAGAGATGGAGCCTGCAGCGAGCATGGCCATCCGGGTCCAGCGCTCACACCTGTCCTCCGGGGGCCTCTGCCCCTAGCCACCACCAGGGCTCCACGCACGTCCCCACCATGTGTTCGCACGCACGCCAGCAGCAGTCACAGTGGAAAGCCCGGCGGGCACACCTGGCCACCCCACCCCTCGGAGGGCAGAGTCCACGGGGAAGACCCCCCAGGACCCTGCCCGCAGCCCCTCAGCTCGAGGGTGGTGGGTTCTGAGGGGGGATTTGCTTCTGGGTCCTCCTCGGCCGAGACAATGCAGAAAGGAGGGGCCACCGTGCCAGGCCCGTCACCCCCGTCCTCTGGGTGGACGCGCAGGCCAGCAGACAGCTCCTGGGAGGCCCGGAGAGCCCCCCGACGGAGGCTGCTGTGGGACCTGCCACATGTGGCCACGTCCGGCTGGAGGCGCGGCCTTTCTCTCCGCACTTCAGAGGGTCTTAGAAAACCTCCCGAGTGCAGCCAGCCCTTCCAGCTCCCCCCGGGGACTCCGCGACCTTGGCTGGGGGTCGCCCTGAGACCGGCGCCTCTAGTAGAGCGGACTCATCAGCCGGGCACAGGGGGACGCACTCTGGAAGGCCCTCCCTGGGATCTCCGGGGAATAAATTCCACGTCTCCAGACGCCGCGCTGCACGGACGGGAGGTTCTGTGGAACCTCCCCCACAGATGGCCGAAGGGCCCGAGGGGCTTGGAGTGTGCAGAGCCAAAGGCCGCAAGCCGTCCCCAGGCCTCACGGGGCGCCGCCCACCGTGGGGCAGGGCCCTGCTGGGCTGAGCTGCCCCGTCCTGGGGGGGCAGCGCTCGGTGCCTCCCCTGCGCTGCTCTCTGACCCTCTCGGCCCCTCCTCCAGAAAAGGTGGAGCTGCTACCGAGGTCCCCAGAGCCACACCAAAGGTGCCTTGTGGTCTTGGGGCACAGGACACTGGAAACCATGTCACCACTGTCACCCGAGCAGTGCCTAGCACACAGGTGGCAGAACCAGCCTGCCTCTGGTGGCTCAGTCCCCATGGGAAAAGCTGCCAGGCCACAGACAGCTGTCAGACCAGGAGACAGATCGTCGGGGGACATGCCAGCAGCGCTTCGGGACCTTCGCCCAGGAGGAGGACGACGGGAGGCAGGGACAGGGCCCTGGTTCCCGCCGCTTCTCAGGCTGCCACCGCCAGCTCACACCGTCTGCCTCCCTGACTCACGGGTCTGGCACTTTTGAGAAAATAAAGTGACAGACGCCGTGAGCCACGGCGCCCCAGCCCATCCGTGGCCAAGTGTTTACGGCAAGGCACTCGGGCTGCCGTGGCGGGCTGGGCTGGGGGAGCCCACAAGGACAAGCCAGCGGGGGGCATGGGCACCCCCACCCAGGACAGCCCCAAGAATCCTACTGGGAATGTTTTCCTAAGCCAACAGCCACAGAATAGATACAGATGCACAGGTTCTGCACCTGCAGCTAAACCAAGTACTGACCGGGACCTCTGGGCAGAGTGACGTCCCCCTGGGCACCGAAGGGCCTCTGTCTCCCTGGCGCTCACTTGGCAGCGGGTGGGGCGGTGTGAGGGGTGATCTGAGCACACCACGGGCCGTGGGTGGGTTCTGTGCAAATCCTACGCCATTTACATAAAGGACACTGGTGTCCCCGTGGGTCCTGGCCCCCACCTCCTAAGGACAGAGGGATGTCGGCATCTCTTCAAGAAGCTGCCCGATCGTTTAGTAGGAAAAACATTGGGAATATGTTGCTGCCCAAGAATGGGGAAGGCAGACGCTGGCCACAGAGCTGCCCAGAGGGCACTGGGGACACTCACAAAGAGCAGGAAAACCCGAGGGATGTGTGGCAGGATCTGACCCGGGATCACAAGTACCAGAGCCACAGAAGGCCACGCAAAGGACCCCAAAGGGAAGGTGGAGGACAAACTCTGGTGCCTCGCAGGCTACGATGGCTTCTCAGTCCTTCTGCCGGGAGCTGCGTCCCCCCCAACCCCGGCTTCCATTTGCTCAAGACGCCCCGAGGCTGCGGAGAGTGCTTAGGGTTCCAGTCAGCAGGTCCTGGGCCACCTGGGAGGGGACCGCACACGTACCTTCTGGTCGAAGCTCTCCGGGGTCAGGTAGAAGTTGTGGAGGGGGACAAAGTAGTCCTCGAGAAGACCCATGAGCAGGACCAGGTAAACGCCATCTGCAAACTGCAGGGGACGCCTTGGTGACATTCCCAGCAAACACTTTAACAAACTCAAGGGAGGAGAAACGTTTACAGTGAAATGATCCAAATCATCCAGCCCTCACCTCACCCGGGCAGCAGGTTTGGAACCAAGGCAAGGATGGGACAAAGCTCCCACCCCAGGTCCTGACCCCCAGAGTGGGGAGAGACGGGGAGAAAGAGACGGGGGTGGGGGACAGACACACGCAGACACAGACACAGACATACACGCATACACACACAGACACACACAGAGACAGACACAGACACACACACAGAGACACAGATACAGACACACACAGACACATACACAGAGACACAGACATACACACACACAGACACACACACACAGA